ACATATTTTCAATCCACAGAAGAAGAGTTTTCCGCCGTTAGGGCGAAAACTGCAACGTATTTGTCGTACGGCTGCTTCGGGGCGGAACGGAAAAATATTTTTCTGCCAAAATTTCGAGTGGTCCGACCGGGGGTGCTAAAGGGGTTAGAGAGCAGCTGTTTAAACGAGCTCCGACACACCCACACTCAGGTAAGGGGAGATGCATATTTTTCGGGGTTTCCGTGAGCGTTGATTGAGCTTCTTGCACGAGCTTCACGTCGCTGAAACGTGAACAATCTATTATGAAATCATTCAATTAACAGATAAACTTCAGTATTATTTACGTTTACGTTGTTACAGATTTTCAGCATCATCATACTTTCTCCATTTTAGTCAGTATACTGTTTTGTCAGTATCTATAGATACTTAACAATTGCAACGAACTATGGATCCCTTTAAATCTGACGCAGTGATTGTTCCATTCGAATCTATTTAGCAATTCGATGAATTTTTAAATAGCAATATGAAAGTTGATTCGGTACGTCCGCGAGGCAACGTTGATTCATTGTTGTCGTCATATGTAAGAACCGAAAATACAGAATGGCCGAATTCAAGGGAAAAGGAGTGAAAGAAGGGAGGGGCACGTGTCCCGTAACCTCCACCCCTGCCAGTCATCGCGGATAAACAACAATGTAGGAACTCCCAATAATGCACACGCGTCTGTTCCCCGCTTTTCCTCTTCATTCGGGAAAACCGGAATGCCCCGAGTATCGTATTTTCATTCGAATTTTCATCGACGAGCCGTGCCCCTGTATCGAAAACACTTTCGTCGTCTATTTAACCGTACCCGCAACATTCAAGGCTCAACGTGTCAATTCATAAACGACTGACACTGTTTCCTTTTTTTAAAAATTCATTCATATTTTTGCAGTTAAAAAGCCTAATAATACCTAAGGTCCTTACACTTAACGGTTACATAGAACTTGTTCTTGTAAAATGATCGGTTCGAAGAGGCCAGTTACGCATCGTCGAAGCAATTAAAAGTTCGTTAAGGGCTCGATAAAGACTGGCGTTTGGAAAAACGGACATCTTAACGAATCGAATTTTCGTGATCGCCATAGAAAGAAAATCTACTGTAAATCCGTTCGTTGTTTTCCTCGAAGGGATTAATTCGCAAGGGGAATCAAATTTTTCCTTGGAAAATCACCCGTAGCTCCAGGTAGAAGCCGTGCCGGTGTCATAAATCCACTTTGCAATTATACAATAACTCATTATCTGATACCAAGAATTCTCCGTCGAAGGGCTTCCGTGTGGAGGAAGTGAAAACGATGAAAAGGAAACGAAAGGGTCTGACGGGGAAGGGTGCTCACCCCTGGTCATTCCTTTGAGACAATGGGCTACTCGCTCGAATTATGGTCACCGTCAGGCGTAACGTCTTTTGCGAATCGACGGACGAGGACTCTGACCTCTCTTCCTTCTTGTGGGAAAAAGTTATTCGGTAAGGGATAATATGTAATTCTGTTAATTCTTTTTTTCATTGAACGAACTCCACGTTGCCAGGGATATTGCATTGATGTAACGTACAGCGATGACATTCCAGGTACCATTCCACGGTAGAGTTTTCTTGGTTATGTAAAAAGGACAAATGGAAGATAGATGGACTGTTAAAGGGTTCAGAGACACTTCAATGAAGATTATTAACAGAAGAAGGGACGGAGAGAAATGGAGGGAGGAGTGGGCGAGAAAGTTTCTCTCGGCTTAACCCCGTTACCGAAGTAACAGTACAACCCTCTGCGAGCGGCCAGAAGGTCGACAATAAAAACTAGACTTTCGGCTCGTAAATTTTCGGAAAACGGTGACCCGGAATCCTTGCAAACGTGCAAGCAAAATATGCCTCGTCTCCGGCGTAATTTCGGGCTGTGCCTTTATCCGGACATCCGAAAGTAACGGGGTTTCATAGATATTCCCCCGAATGGTATTTTTTCGAGTAATCGAGGTCAGTTAACAAGCTTTCTGGACAAATTTTTCCATCGTTGCGTCGTTACACGTAACTCGAACGTTAATTACATTCATCTTCGGTTCCCAAAGACGATTGTTACGTTAACGATTGCTTCTGCTAATCGTTCGAAAACATTTCGGCCACGTTAATGGAGACCGGTAAAAAAATGTGTCAAAATTTTTCCAACTCAATCATGCACAAGAATGCACAAGCCTTCTACAGGAATGCACAATCGCTCTAATTGGATTTCGTGAATGCGACAGAACACACGGTTCGAATTTACCTTTCTCCGTCCGTTTATTATTGGCGTCTCGTAAATTGTTGCGGTTTTTGTTTTCATTGTCCGAACAGCGAAATCCAATTACGCTCACCATCGAACGCGTGGAAGGTGGTACAATAAAAATAATCGTACCTTCCCAGAACGGTTGCAGTTCGACCTGCGGATCTTTTGTCTTTTCACACGTATTGGGCCCCGAGCGTTTCGCCCTTGTCGCGGGTCCGTTCTATTCTCATCCAATTAGCCGTTTGTATCCCAATGGCGATCGGCCATTTAAACTTTTCAATGTCAATTGCTCTCATATTTTGATACGTGGTCCCCTTTCGAATCTATCGATCTAGTTTTCGGTAAGGAGACCACACAGACTGTTCCATTTTTTTCTTCGTTAGAACTTTAGTAATAATTTTTATTATATTTCCAGAGTTCTTCGTTCAATTGAAAATCCACAGAAGAATGCCTATTACATGTGAGATGTCAACGTCGTCGAGAAATCATGGAATATCAATGAACTGTTTCGTAATCGAAGCGACAGAGCCAGTACGATCCGGAGAGAAAAAGAGAAAGGATTACAGGAAACAATGGCGGAGGAGTGTCAGGGTTCGGTCAATGTAGAGCGTATCCGTGGCTTTCCGCGTAGGTTCGGGGCGGTGGGTGGTTAAGCTCGAGGGATCGCGCCGGCCCCGGTTAGAAATCTATATAGAACGTGGTTAAGGCTAATCGCATTATTTATTGCCGCGACGGATTGTCAAGACTGGTTCATCCGACGACTGTTCCCGTGTATTCGCTTCTCGTCGTATTTATGACGCGAGCAGAGAAAACGGTACTCGCGCAAACCGGACGAAGAACAATTGAGAGGTCTCCGGGGGCCAGTTTGCAAAGGGGTACGGTTGATGTAAAAGCGTCCGAATTCTTGGACGTTTCGTCGAAACGGCAAAAACGTCCACGGAATAATTATTTATTGCGTTTTATGTTTAATTCCGGTGCCCTTGTAAACGGTTCGGGCAAAGGGGCCAAGCTACGATGTTTCGAAAGTGCCGAAACTGGGCTGCCTGGACAATGAAAGGGCAACGATCTTGAGGAAAGGGGAGGTCGGATGCACCGAATTTGCGAATTTTTCTCGTTTAATTTATTGCGACGCATTTCCTCGAACACGCGTTCCGTTTCGAAACGGCGAAAACAGGAGGAAACGATCAGATGTTTTTTTTTCTTCTGTCCAAGGGAAAAAAGAAGGTTGTGGAAGGGTTAGGTGGGACGCGTTGTCCCGTGTGACAAGAAACGGGGAAAACAGTTAGAAATTCATATATCCTCGTCACCTCTTTCCTGCGCCCAGTTTTTTTTCTCTTTCTCTCCCTCTCCCTCTCTTGGCACCGGTAACAGTTTAACTGTAAAAGCATCGTAAATGCAAGGAGACAGAGGAATCCGTTCCGTTCGTTCGAAAAGAAGATTAGAAGGAAAGGGTTGAACGGGAGGGGTTTTTTGATGAAGCCTTTACGACTTCCAGATTTTTTCCTCCCCCCGCCCCTAGTAGCGAAAGGGTTGAAGGACTATTTACAGTGTCCTTCGTGTACCTGTTTCTCTCTCTGTCGAGGCGATTGGCCTCGTCCTACATCCCTCGCCACTTCTTCTTCTTTCTTTCTCATGGGAAAAAATACTAGGGAAATAAAAGTCTAGGGTAGAAACCATGAAAAGTTTCTTCTCGATTCTCTGTAATTTTAGGGCTTGACTAATGGTCCTCGGTTGTTGGATGTTTTCCGAAGCCAGGGAAAGGGTGCGATCCGTCTGTCGCTGGAGAGAAAGCAGACCGCGTTCGACGGAAAAAGAAAAGAGCTCGCGCACGCGTATCGACGCGCCCTCGGTTTCTCTTCCCGTACCGAAATCGCCGACGCTAATTAGAGAGGATCCTCCATATTTTTAACTTTCCTTGTCGAACCCGAGCGAAACCACAGAACCGATCCGTATGTAGCAACAGGGTGGGAAGACGAAGATTCGGGGTTTCCGTCGTGGCTACTTAACCCTTTAACTGTGAAGGGTGCGTATCCACCGTCACTAAGTGGCTGGTAATTGTAAAAAGACGTTTCATCCGTTCTTCTCGATTTACAGCAACGTATGTAGATCAATTGAAAAAATCGTATGTGTAAAAGAAGTATAAAAAATGCAAAAATTCGAGCATCGAGGTATTGAAAATCGTCTCGAAAGACTAGTACTTATGTATTTGTATATAGAAGTGTTCGAACGAGCATCGAATGGTTCAGCAAAGTATCCAAATTTTGCGTTTCCAAGGTGACCGCGATGGAAAGAATCCGAGCGAGAGGAAACAATTCGAAACATCGTCGCGTCGTTGATGTCTAAATAGGAGAAAGTGGGGAGGAATAAAAAGGGAAACCGTGGACGGAAAGGGTTGGAGGAGCAACGGTAACCTCGAAGACGAACTCGAAAACGCGATGACGCGTGGTGGTGGTTTAGGTTGGGGGGGATCGTCGAGGGTTTCGCAAAAAGTCCGGAAAGCGTAGTAGAATTCGCCAGGAGCCATCTAAGCGCGAACAGGAGGGGTATTCAAAAACGTCTATGAGTCCGGGTACAATGCCCGTCTCCGATTGGACGAGCGGTCGAGGCCGAATGGAGAGGGTAGCTGCCCCCTCGACACGATCCACAAATAAGCCGGTATTCCACTTTGGGACTTAGGACGTAGTCAGTCGACCTCGGGCATTCACACGGTACTCGAGTCCGGGTCGTGGAATCCGCGTGTCTAAACGTTTTTCTTAATCAACGTGCAAGTCCTTGTTATCAGTTGTATTCGGACATATCGGAGGTTGTTCTAGTGATATTTGAAACATTTCGGAAAACAGTGTATAGTGTACAGAAAAGGGATCAACTCTAAGGACCGTCGATCACGGACCTGGAGGAAGCTGGAGACTCCGAGTTCGAGGTTCGTCTCTTGACATGGTATCGCTTATCATTTATCGTAATAGTCCGACGTGAATTTTCTGTGACGAACGGTTTACGTGATTACTGTGACTGTTGCGATCTTGATTTGGAGAGATAAAAGTTACCCGCCGATTGCTGAGAGGATTTCGATTTCGACGAGGTAATTCGAATGCTTCGCGAGGCGGTCTCGTCGACGGTGATATGTTGTTTTTTTTTTTCTTTTATCGGACCGTTCGATCGTTCTCATTTTCGTCGCGTATTTTTTTACCGCGTTCATTTGTCAGTAACGTTAAAATAACGCGATCGAAGGTGTCGGCGGGGACGGTGTGCACGGAGAAAAACGAGAACCGCGATTCGTAACGACGTCGGTTTTGAGTTTCTTTTCCGTGGTCTTTTCCGAGAATTGTACCGAAGTTTCGAAGGCTAGAGTACACGCATACACGTGTGAGCGCGCGCGCGATCGTCGAAATTGGCCGTTGTTTAGTTCCGCCGTGTTTCGAAAAGTGTCGACACGGTAATGACATTATGTACGTGTGTCGAGGGGAAACAAACACCAAGAAAATTCAACATGTCCGCAACGACGGGAACGTTGGAAAAGCAAATGTGCCATGGATCACACGTGAATTTGCCTGTGAATATCTTTTGTCATCGTGTGCGTCAGATTTTTCCTCTTTTAATTCGACAGGGCTTGAGCGGCGGCCGTCGGATCGGGCGGCAATGGTCGCCGGATTATTTTCGCGTTCGCTATAACGTCGCATCGCGGCTCGCGGGCCTGGCGATCGACGGGAATCACTTTCAGACCTTTTCGTACATTCCTAATCGAGAATTCCTAATCGTGGCAGGATAGCTTCTGTTAATTATTTACTTGAAATCGAGCCTGAAAATTATTGTTGTATAAGATTATGTAGGAATCACACGTGGATAAGCTCGAAAGGGTTCTAGCTTACAAAAGATATTAATGATACTAATATTATGCAACAACGAAAGATAATTAAGTAATTAATAATATTACAACGGAGCGTAGTGACAAAAGCAATATTTGAGGTTCTTTATGTTCCTCTTAATATACCCCTTGCTCTTCACGTTTTGATAGGATTTCGATATTTATCCATCGCTTTTGCTTAACATTATCAATCATCACGTATTATTACAGTCGCTCCATCGAGGATTGCATAGTTTTCGATTTTTCACATTCGTTTTCCCACGGATACGCCGCTTTTTCCCCAACAGAACCACGGAATCGATGTTCTCGTTACTATCTTTCCCCTCGTCTCCTCGTCCCGCGGCTTTTCTATTTACTGTTGTGATTGTGCTTGGAATTTCGAAAGACTGGCTCCCGTCGACCTTTGCCAAAGTCTTTTTTCTCCTTGTTCGACAGAAGACGCGAGAAGGAGGGTTCGCTTTAATCGACTCGTAAACGTCCTTACTATGGAATGCGAGCGTTTCTGCGTCGCCGGCGAGGAATTTTGTGGGCAACCAGGCGCGAATTGTGTTTCTCGAAAGCTTTTCCACCGCGTGACATGACTCGAATTTTGCGCAAATATTCGCCCAGTCTTCTAACGATTAAGCTAGTTTACGGGACCAACGAGCAGATTTTTCGAAATACACGCACGGTCTTCGGTCGGCCGCGAAGAAAGGTTTCCCACTTTCGAAAAACATGGCAAGCAGATTTGCTCTCTCGCGGTAGCGAGATAATTGCGTCTCGGCCGGATCCGCCTTCATGCTTTCAGCGGGAAGTCTCCGTTTTCTTACAAGGGTTGTTTGTTTTCGGCCGATTCCTCCGCCTGGTTCCGTAGAGCAGACAGAAAGAGACCGAGAGAGAGACAGAGAGGCTGCTTTGAATATTATTTACGACCGCCGTCTCACGGGGTAAACGGACAATGAGATTTTCGCCAGAAGTCAAAAGCGGAATCTCCCAACCCGGTCGCCTCTGTCGACGGGGTTTAAAAGCGTGCTCTAGTTGAATAAATGAGCGGACCGGACCTCAACCCTGGTGTACCGTTTTTACCTTCGACTAGGAAATCGCGAAACAATTACCGGGTTGTCCGACGGAATCGAAAACCATAAATCACGTGTGCTCGTTGTTGGTTCGTGGTCGGAAATTGCACCACAAAATTTCCATCGTTTAAGCAGTTTACCAATTAATTAATTATATTCTGAAGATATTGTTGTGACGCTTAAAGTCACGACGCTGGCTTTGCGTTATAACTGAAGATGCCTCCGACTCCGAGGATCGATTTGTGAATCGGTCAGTCGTTTCGCTGACAACCGCCAGTATTTAAAAAGAGAGTATCTGATATGACATAAGAGAGAACAGACGTACCATAATTAAGTTGTACACATTTATATATAATTAATGTTGTACAGTTGTACAGTTGTAAATAAATGTTGTGTTGTGATCTATAATAAAACTGTTATGTCGTGTGGCAGAACGCCACAGCGTAACAATATTTAACGAATTACAGAATCGTTCGACGTAATATTTATTTCCGTTCGATCTGTGAGAATCAACTTGTAACGAATAGTCGAGTAAAAATTGAGATATTCGAATCGATATCGAAATGGCGACCACGCGTCGTTTCCTTGAATGGTCTCGTGCTGTCGGTCGTAGACCAAAACAATTCCCACTATTTGTTGCCCTGCTTGAATAAATTAGCCCGGCCATTCGCACACTGGAATGATTTGTTCTTGTAGGGCGTTCAAGGCGAAAGGAAGCCCGAGGGTAACAGGCAAACATTGTCGGACGATTTTACCAAGAATTTGCTTTAGAATGTGGCGCGTTACCTACGACTAGGCAGAGAGGCTCATTTGTCGCAGTCCCGTACCCTTCTTCGCGGAAATTCGCACAATCGCCACCGAATGCCAACCCTTTTCGTTCTCTTGTTGTGCCCCGCAGCTTTTCACCTGTTTCTTTATGCTATTCAAATTTTCTGACACTCCACCGTTGAATTTTTCCCATCTGTCCCCGATCGTTTATTGAAATTTACGATTTGTGCGAATATCTTTTGCCATTTGTTCTAGTTTTGTTTTCGATCTCGGACGTTTTTCGTTCGAAATAAGTTATAGTATAACGGTATGAAATTAATCGCAAACAAAATTAAATTACAAATGGAAAAAGGAATTAATTATTTTACTTGGAATCATTATAACATCATCGGTTACTAATCTAAAGGTTTCTTTTCCAGAATCTTGGTCGGTAATTAAACAATAATTTCTCATTTACTTTCTGTAAACAGAGTGACAAGATGCGAGGGAACTGGGACACGGCGGAGCCTCTGGTACACGCGCCGAATCAGCAACTTCAACAACAGCAACAAACCATTGTCGAGGAGCAACGCCATCCCCTCCATTCGGCAACCACGCCCGCTTGGGGTATCACCGATAGAATCGTGGTGAGTAATCGTTTCAACCCCTCTCCGATCGAATCTCCGTTCTTTCTCTCTCTTACTTTTAACTTATTCACCCTCTCGCTCTGTTTGCATCTCACCCTCGGGCCACCCTCGCGTTCCCGTTGTCTCTTTTTCTTTTTCATCCCTACCGTCATTGAGTCTCGCTGCTGCCCTTCCCCCTTTTCCGTCATCGACAAAATGTCGCCTTTCGCTTTCGGTTCAATGGACCCGGCGACTTCTTCTGGCGGATTCTTTGCTCGCCAGAGAATCGCTTTTGCGTGTCTCTTCAACTGCTTAGACTATTTTACCGAAGATGAAGCGTAACATGATCCTGCGATGTGTCTTGTTTTGCAGAAGGTGGAGCCGATAGAGGACAAGAACAACGACTCGGGCGTGTCGCCTGACCATTACACGAGCAACTCCGTCTCGCCTAGGAGCAGACGATCGTCGTCCACGGCGAACTGCAGCCTGTCGCCGGGAAGCGCGACTTCACAGGACTCGAACAACATGCAGTGCAGCACATTCGACTACAGTCCGCAGAGGATGTTCAAGACCTGCGGCTCGCCGCTCGAGTTCACGCGACATCATTCGATGGACGAGCATCAGTCGGAACAAACGATGGACGTTGTTTCGAGCACGGTGAAACCATCCAACGAAGATGTCGAGCTCGGTCAGGACATCTTGCAATGTCCTATCTGCGCCTTTAGCACTGTGAACAGGTAAATCTATGCTCGAAATAAAACCAGTACCCCTAAATCATTGTTGTTCGATGAATCATTGCTGACACGAATCGTTTGTTCTTTCACAGGCTACATTTCACCGAGCATCTGGCCACGCACTGCACGACGAAATGCGAGATGCCAGAATTCGTAAAGAGCGTTCTCGGTCAGCTGACCGCTTCCGGATCGATCCAGGACGACAACCGATCGTCACCGACCCAAGGCGAACGTTCCGAGCACGAGTCTGAAGAGGCCGACGAGCCAGGTCTTCGTGTGCCACGGGTCAATTCTCAGGGCAAGGTGAAGACGTTCAGGTGCAAACAGTGCAACTTCGTGGCGATCACGAAGCTGGAATTCTGGGAGCACAGCCGTGGCCACATCAGGGCCGAGAAACTGTTGACCTGTCCCAAGTGTCCGTTCGTGACCGAGTACAAGCATCACCTGGAGTATCATTTAAGAAATCACTTCGGTTCGAAGCCGTTCAAATGCGACAAGTGTGCGTACTCGTGCGTGAACAAGTCGATGCTGAATAGCCACTTGAAGTCCCACTCGAACATCTATCAGTACAGATGCGCGAATTGTTCGTACGCCACCAAGTATTGTCACTCGTTGAAGCTTCATCTTAGGAAGTACTCGCACCAACCGGCGATGGTGTTGAACGCGGACGGTTCACCGAATCCTTTGCCTATCATCGACGTCTACGGGACACGACGTGGCCCGAAGCAGAAGCCGATGAAATCCGATGTCGAGGCCAGCCCGAACGGTAACGTCGCGATCAACAACAACTCGCAGACGCCCACCTCGTATCCACCGATGGTGGTCACCCCTCAGATATCGCCGGTCAGCCATCATCTACCCATGAATCTCATGAACGGTCTGAACGAGATGAACGGGGTCAGTCAACCTGTGAATGGTTTAAACGGAGTAGCCCAGAATCAGTCCATGATGACGTTCCCTTTCAACCAGCTATTCGGAGGTTTCCCTATGGGCAATTTCCCCGCCTTTGAAGACACCACCGCTGAAAAACAGTTGGATCGACTGAAGTCCACCGCGTTGATAGACTACATGAAGACGATCGACGGTGAAAGGATCAAAGAGGAGTTCCCTCAGGACCTAGCAGTTCGGTATCTCGGTACGACCAGGACACCCAATGACACCGTAAACGGACTATCGAACAACGATGTTCCGAAAATAACCGAAATTCTCTCGACACCCACTTTGCCGACGAGTCAGGAGTCACGTCCGGAGACAAAGGTGATTCCATTGGACCTGAGTAAACCTAACGCGACCAGTAACGTTCCGAACCGACCGATCACGAATTCCCCAAAAGCGACGGGGACCAGCAGACGCAAGGGTAGAGCGGTGAAGCTTGATCGCAGGGTGGTTGAAGAGGACACCGACGAGGAACAACAGCAACAACAACAGCAACAACAAGAGCAACAACAACAGCAACAGCAAAAATACGAAGAACAAGAAGACATGTTCGAGCCCCCGGCTGCCAGTAGTCCAGGCTCTCGAGATTGCAACGGAGACCGCGCGTTCGGCGTGAGCAACGAGTTCACCTGCCAGTACTGCGAGATCGCGTTCGGTAACGTGGTGATGTACACCGTTCACATGGGTTACCATGGATACAAGGACCCTTACAGGTGCAACATGTGCGGCCACCAGTGCACCGACAAGGTGTCCTTCTTCTTGCACATCGCCAGGTCGAAGCACGCGTAGCTCAAGGAACAAGGGACTCGGTCCTTCTGGAAATTGGTAGCCGTGGGCTCTCGGGGCACAATACTGCACCGACATATCTGCGTGTTCAGGATACGATGCTCGTTCGAGTCGGACTCAAAACTGGAGGATTTCTTCGATTGGTCCGCGGCTCGACGGAGGATTTCGAGCGATTGTTCTCAGGTTTTAGGACACTTTAGCCGAAGAAACGTGGATGCGTTAAGATAGCCAAAGTCGAAGTAGATTACTTCGAGCACGATCCCAGAACCTCTCTGTGGATCCGCTCTCGAAGAAGACTTTATTAGGATGATGGAACAAATGTTGGCGGAAACGTTCCTTTTTAATTCCGTCGTTCAAGCGATAGGAATACCACAACTACCTCGAGCACATGTACAAATTAGTACACACACAGGCGTACATATAAATTGGTACTATATATATATATTATATTATATTTTCATATAGAATGAAGATTGTTTATTCTACGCGAAACTCGATCGAACGTCCGAGTTTGGGACGGTCTTGCTGGAACGAGAATCGACAACTGAGAAGCTTTTTAACTGGCCTGAGAGCTGAGTAAAATATCTTTACGGAACTCGGTATTTTTCCATTGTCTTTATAGAATATTCTATATACACGGTAGAAAAACCAAAAGAATGGTAGGCGAGCGAAGCGCTATTTTACTCAGCTCCGAGCGTTCACAGGACAAACAGAGGGCAACAAAGTTTTCTTTTTTTTTCTTTTCTTTTTATCGAGGATGATCCTCGTTCCAGGAAGTTTCTGACGCCAGTGTTCGCAGGGAGGGTGAATGAGAGTGTAACGATTGATTGCTGGTAGGTTGTATGTCGCGCAGGTCAATTGGAAGCCAAGATGTAAGATATATTTTGTGACAGAGACGAACGAGATGAATAGAGGACGCGAAGTTAGATTAGAAGAACGTCGAAGAAGAAATCGACGGTGGAGCTCGAGAGAGAGAAACAAAATGTCTCGATTCTAGTCAAAAGCACCGAGTGGAGATACTGTGAGTGTCGGTGGTCTCGGTGTGCAATCGAAGAAAGAACGTGTGTAACGAGGGTTGGCTGTCGCGTCCGATTACATATATACGAAAATTTGTTCCGACGTTATCGACGATCCGTTTCCCACACCAACCAGTACAAATGGAATCGCGAACGGAAACCAACACACGCGCGGGATATTATTATCCGGAAGTCGATTTTCAACGTGACACTTCAACAAGTTCTTAGCGTTTTTTTTTTCTTTTCAATATTGACGATCTTACTGATTTCTTTTCTTTTTTTTTTCTCCTTTAGAAATGGATTTTAAGTATATTCACTACGAATTCCGTTTTTACAGGACGTTTCGCCAGTCCTTTTAGCTGGTTCGTTTTAAGTTTTTCTTTTTCAATTTTTGTTTTCTAACGCGTTGTTTGGAACATGCTGACGAGAAGTGTATAGTGTTTAAGATCGACTGCAAGTTTTTCTATGGTTTATCGTCCCGTCGCGGAGCTTGTTTTTCAGTTTTCATGTTTCGTTTTAACAACGATTTAACTTTGTTTCTTCTTATCGACGACGAACAACGTCTCAGCTTTATTCAACGACCCGTTTAACGTTGACCGTGAATCTTATTCGGTTTATCGTTTCGAGTTTTCTAATGTTTTCATCTTTATTTTTTTTAATAAGATCCACTTGACGCCGTGATAGCCCGGCTCGATTTTTACGGAGGATTTTAATACCAGAGATATTATCCTACCAAAAAATTCAACGGAGGGATCGATAAAGGGGACCACACACACATATATATATATATTTTTTCGTTCACTTCTTTTCATTCGCGACGAATAGTTTCTATGCGATTTTTCCTGCACAGGTGTATCGAGAGTGCTGTACTTAAGACTGAGAAGAAAAAAGTCTGAGAGAGTTTTGTTCGTGTAATATTAGTCGTTTCGGTCGTACTCGTGGCGCAATACGAAGAGGTTTTTCTCCGTTGATTTTCCGTTTCCTTTATCCAGAGAGCGCGCGCATTCTTTTCGCAGCTCGTTGTGTAATTGTATTATTGGCTTTCCGTTTCCTTTACCCTATTTTTGCGTTTTTTTTTTTTTCACAAGAGGAGAGATATTGCGAGCGAGGAGCGTGCAGCTTGTGTAGATTCGTTCTTACGTTTGCTTCCGACTGCCGCGTGCGAATTCGGCCGAGAAACCTGGTTCCTAATGTAGCATAGTTTAATTTAAGTAACATAATGTTTCCACATTCCTCCTTATATACATATGTATGTAACCACAAAATACATAAGTTATTTATCTAACAGGAGCGTGTCGATCAATCTTCCTTTTGTTATTCCATCGGGTCGAGGCCTAGAAATACGTCGCGAATATTTTCCACGGTTCATTATCAGTTTACAACTGTAAATTGTACGAAGTACAATAAAATAATCATTCGCTAGTTTCTGAATACCTATTGTAAAACGAATCAGCGAAATAATTTAAACAATCGGTTATCGCCCATGGTTGAAGTCATCCCTACTCCTCGACCGCATTCATCGTACAAACTCTGTACAGGTCTGCTCGGTTTCCACAATCTTTTGTCAAAAACGGTCAACCGAAGCTGTGAATTTTCACGAAAAATTAATGCACAAGAAGATGGACTTTCTTAAGGGAATATCGGAAGCGATTCAGAGCATCGAAGAGGGCCAAAGCGTATGGACGCCGGACGTGATTGGTCCTATTTTCCAGAGGGAGAACATCGGCTTGAGGGAGGTTAATTTCATTGTCCTTCTTCGTTTCTTAGTTTCAATCTGACGTGTTTTTGATTAACGTTCACGATCGTTCAGGTGCTGATGACCCATCGGAACGACAAGTGCATCCGTACGTTGGCGACCTTCGTGCCCGACGAGTTGATCTACGAGACAGACATCTCCCGGAAGAATTTCCGTAAATACAACGCGGTGACAGCGTTGATCAACGTCTCGCGGATCTTCAATCTTCACGAGAAATTCATGAACGCTGAGAACGGCGGTAGCTGCGCTCTATTCGAAATGTTGAACACCTATATGGGCATTATAATCGAGGGAGTGTACTACACCGAGGGGGATGTGATAAAGATCTCACGTGAGTCCTGAATAGTGAGAATATTCTCGAAATCGATCGAATGGAAAGAAGTTCGTTTTCATATCGAACAGGGGACGGACTCTTGGTATCGTGGAAGATAAGCAGAGACGAGTTCTTCTCCCGTACGATATACAACGTGATCCTGTACGCGCAGAGCATTCAGGAAGTTATTTCATCGGTGAAGAATAAACTCCAGACTCCAAAGGGTATTTATATGTTATTTTCTCTAACCTTAATCATTGCCTTGTTCTCAATTAACCGTCGACAGTGGACGTGGTAATTTCCGCGGGCGAAATAATATTTTCCGTGATCGGCGACCACGAGACGAGACATTTCGTGATCGGCGGCATGCCGATCGAGGATCTGAAACGCGCCAAGAGAATCTGTCTACCTGGGGACGTGGTGCTGGCGTCGAGCGCTTGGGAGCATTGCGCGCCCAGTCAATACGAATACGTGATCAAAGACTCGAGTAACGTGAAGGTGTGAACAGTTTGGTATACCATCCTGCTAGCCTTTGACATTCTTTAGAAATTGGAATTCTTATAGATCATCAGGATTCTCGGACCGTTGATGGATTCTACTAGTATAGATAAACAGAGTACCCAGCATGAGTTACCCGAAACGGATCCTAGGGCAAGTTTAACGGTCACTGTTGTCATCGAACCGACCGAACTCGGTCCTCCTTCCGTGGAAATCTTTCCAGTCGCCGGTGAAGTAGAGGAAGTGTGGGAGCGCGGTTCGTTGACAGTGTCCGAGGTGTCTTTGCTTCGCGGTTGTCCTCTTCAAGGTAACTGTTTGCTGATACGGTCTTAATACTGTCACACTTTTTGGGTAGAGGTCTTTTGTTCTCCCTTGCACCCAAAAACTTTAACAGCAATATGTACCGACTTATAAAACGGGATTAACTGCTTTCAGCGGCGAGAGTCTCCGTGATCGAGACGTTGAAGCGACGACTCGGTTCGCACCTGCGGACGTACATATTGAAGCCGGTGCTGAACCAGGTACGCAAGCCACGATTTGTCATAAGTAGTAAGTTGTCATAAAATTTGATAAAGTCATTCTTTAAAACAAGAACAAAAGTAGGAATTTCCATTTTCGCTTAAGTATGTTATTGATTTAAGAATAAAATAGAAAAGTCGTTGCATTCGATGAAAGTTTCGTCTTTTATTGTATTTCACAGAGGTCTAGAGTTTATAAATGCATAAAATCCGCAGTCTAGTCGTAAGGAACTGACTTCATGTCCTCTCGTTTTGCAGATCAACGCGGAATCATCGTTGGAGTATTTGACGGAAGTGAGGAAAGTCACCGTCACGTGTGTGAACGTGATCCCAAGCAAGTGTTCCGTTTACGAACTGATTTCGTTGATCGACGAGTTGTTTAACGTTTTGAACAGGTATCCCCATGGAAATATATATCTGAAGGTTTCTCACGAAATTTTTCAAGATTCTGCAAGTAATGGTTCACCTGTCGTAGCATAGTTAGACAACACGCGGGATGTATCAGCACGATGACCGTGTACAACAGGGATATTTTGTTTCACATACTGTACGGGATCGACGGATACAGTCAAGACGCGGAAGAGACGAATCCCGCGAAAAACGGTGTTGCGTCCGCGCCTGAGATCCTGAACGAGCTGAAGCGGGTCAATGGCGTGAAAACCGTCTATGTCGGCATGTCAACCGGTAATTGTGACATTGTGTTCGTTGAATTGAAAATTCAGTTTTTCTGAATTCCTTCCGCCAGGAATGGCCTTCTGCGGAGTAGTGGGTCACGCTGTCAGGAGACAATACATGGTTGTTGGTACACCCGTAGACAAGGCCAAGTCATTGATGATGGTGTCCTTCGGCAAGGTTAGTGTCTGCAAAATCTTCTTTCACTTGTTTCACTTTATCTAACGTTAGACGGCTTTGTTACAGATGTCCTGCGACTATGACACTGTCTTGTACAGTACCGTCGGCAAGGAAAAGTTCCGTTCACGAGGTGTCAAGACGCTCAAGGGATATGGAAAGGCTCACGTCTATCAAATCTTGGATACATATCTGTACGGTTGCTTTATCGAAACATGCCTATCGTTTTTCAAGTTACTGGGATGTCGTCTTTTCTCTGTAGAAAATCCGAGGAATTCCCAACGAACATCGATTACGTGTATCCTATTATTGGTCGTTCGAAAGAACTGGAATTCTTCAAGGATATCTTGGACGATATTGGAGTGGCGGAGAAAACTTATTCAGGGATGCTTATCGAGGTCATTCCTATCTTTCTTTGGAATCATCCTGTTTCTTTCTCATTATATATTAAAATCAGTTATTTTTAGGGCAGTGAGAGATCCGGCAAATCACGTCTTCTCGACGCTTTCGCTGCAATCGTTCTGGACAGGCAAATAACGTTGCTCAGGCTTCCTGTGCACGAGTCCTGCGCGGAGAAGGAGTTCTCGGTGCTGTACAACTTACTGCTACAAGTAAATAGAACGGGGTCGAAGATTCTGTTTCGTTGATAAGCTTGAAAAATGTCTACTTTTACATCTAGCTTTTCGGCGCAAAGAATACCACCACGATAGAAGAACGGGAGAGGGTTATGTTGAATGAATTCTCCGATATCCTACCCGCCAAAGATTTCTGCTATCTGAACGGCATGATGAAGGTTCAGTTTCCACTCTCGCATGAGTACTGCAACGACACCGACTGGGAACGACACATGAAGACTATCCAACTGTTTGGAATAATATTGGAAAGGGTAGATTCATCGATAACGTGTAGAGAGATTTTAGGTTTAAAACAATCTCGATCTCGATTCAGTGCGTGGAACATGTCTGCATTCTTCTCGACGACGTGCAGAACATGGACGTACTATCCTGGAAGTTTCTTTCCGTCGCTATGGACAAGGCCAACGTGATCGTCGCGATGACGTTACTGGAACCAGTCTCTTGGGACAATTTGACCCAAGTGGAGTCAGGAATTTGTCAGGACAAAAGGCTGATGAACAGATCGTTGACCGGATTGGACACCGCGCACGTTACGGCATTTGCCTGCCAGTTCTTGAACGTTCGAGCGATTCCAATCAATCTCGACAGGTAAATCGTTATAAATTTCACAAACGCTGCTACAATCCACACAATTATTCGGCTACGCTTTTTAGGATTCTGCAGCACCGCGGCAAGAACGCGATCGCCTGGTGCGAAGCGTTCCTGATGTCTACTCTACAAGTCCGAGCTTTGGAGTTCATCAATGTTTCGCCTTTGGACACAAGACTCTACGACCTCGTTTTTCCCGATGGTGCACTCGTGACTAAAATACCCGTGGATATGACACCGGACGAACTCGCGCCGCCGTTGCATTGGTCGCAAATGAGCACCGTGACCGTCTGTATACCGTCTGGGACGCAAAGGGGGTCCGTGGAGACCAATCGTGACGTTATAGGTGGTCTACAATATCATTGAAAATTTAGGTGACCAGAACACTTTACTAGTGTTTGAACGTTTCTTGTATGCTAGGTCTGAGGATCGATATGTATAACAGAATGAACTCGTACGAACAAGATTTCATTAAGTGTGCGGCGACATTGGGTAGCATTTTTATACGTAATATGATCGGAAATCTGATGATTAACGCTGCGCCGCTGTACACCTCTAAAGGAAAGTTTATTATATTTATTATATTGTCTTATGAATTTAAAAATAATAATAACCGGTGTGCGATCATTGTACCATTTTCTGTTCTTTCAGCCGTGGCAGAGATGATACGACTAAGGGTTTTAGAATGTGCGATGATCCAACGAGGACAATTTCACATGGACGAGTCGATGTTCGTTTTGTTCAAGGAACGCAGAACCTTCAGCAACATGTATCATCTGGTGACCTGTAAATGCCAACCTACCCGTTAGTAGAACAGAAATGAATTTGCCCGCGCTGATCATTCGTCGACCCGCGGTAACTTTTAATGACAGACGAAAGTTTCCCGTAAAATTATATCGCAGGTGTGTTCGCTCCAAGGAGCCTGCCTTTGCACGCGCACTGCCAGTACCTGGAATTCACTATACCCGCGTATCGCAAGCTCTTGTACAACATACTGCCAATGCACGAGAGAAAGGAGTTTCACACAAAAGCGGCGGCCATCTTCGAGCGTGACGCACGGAAATGCAGCACATGCGGCGGCGGCAGTTTCCTTGCGATTTTCTCGAACGAGCACATACAACCAGAAAAAACAGTCTGGTTTTTATTTTCTGAAATGTTCCCATTGTCCGTGTATTTTCATTTCATTGGAAAATATTCGAAATTTCCGTTTTTGTTTGTACATGCAAGGTCGAAGAGGCACCGTCGATATCGAGTATAGCGTTGCCTAGAAGAAACAGGACGTACAGTCGAATAATGAACAGGTTGGAATCGAAGAGTCGATCGAAAATGTTCTTAACGGTTAATAATGGAACAAACGATACGGAGAGAAGGCGAGAAAGCATGAGTGCCCGTAGAATCTCGATTTTGCCATCTTACGACGACGAGGGGGACATCGGTGAGGATCAGGGATCGATCGAGGAAGTTAATTATTTAACGCAGCAAAATTACCTGTTGTGTAGATGCGTTCATAAGCAATATGTTGGAGGGGCAAGATGTCGACGTTACCAAGAAAAACGACATTTCCTGGCAGAGCCGATTGAAACACATGAAGTACCTGGATTATCGTAACTGTCGATGCATCGACGTGATTGACTACCTTTACTGGAAGCTACATTATCATATCAAGAACACCAGTAACGTTTCAGTTTCGCGTTACAACATTGATTTTACGGTTATTTTCACGTTTTCGTTTTTTTCGAACTGTTTTCCAGTGGATGTCGAGAAGTTGAAGAAGTTTATGCTGGACTACAGTGCCGGCTTGCTCGAAACCGGTCAGCCGATCTACGCGATGAAATTTCTCGCGGATACGAACACGACGGTCGAAATCGCGAAGGTCAAGACGCAGCTGAACGTGGACACCACGAGCGAGGATAACTGTAAAGGATCAATATTGATTTTGACAGGTAAGTTGCTTCCCTTACAAACACAGGGCGAATTTTAGAAATATTTTTTTCAAGTAGGGAATCGTTTTCTTTCACAGGCGACGCGTTTTTTACCTGCGGAAATTACGTGCAAGCGAAGAAATACTACAAGGAGGCGGTAACACTGAAAAACGGTCCGTACTTTGGCAAGAAACAGATCTGCTACAACATAGTCATGGAGAAACTGAGACACATGTTCCAAGGTTTACCCAATTATCTTCTGCATCGGGTCCACGGTTCGGTAGCGACGAAGAAATTAGAACTTGCGATCTGTTTGCAAAGATTAGCCTCGGTCTTGATGGTTCGGAACTCTAATTAACCGACTGTATATCGATCGTCAAGTTACATTCTGACGTCAATGAAATTTTGCAGGTCACCAATGAACAGAAGATAGCAAAAGTGATGATTGTTCGAAGTTTTCGCACCGCTTTTCAGACGGTCGGCGGTTTCATTGAAAAAGCATTGGTCTATTTGACCGCTGTAGAAATCATTCGGGATGACTGTTCCTACATACGGTCTCTGGAGAAACTGATGATCCATGTCACGGAGGAGAAAACTGCTTGGAACTCCCCGGAGGAGGTGGTCATGCTGGCGAAGGTTTATCGCGTGTTGTACGAGAACAGGTGATAGTCTCATTTGCCTTACTGGATAGTGTAAATTCTTTGGAAATGAGGATTATTTTAAATGACCTGTTCGTTAAAAAAAAAAAAAAGATTGCTGGGAGGTTCGTTGCTTGAAAGCATCGATATCGGGATGAGTCTGTTGAAAATTTGCGATTGCCTCCACTATACCAGAATGAAGCTTGCTGTGTTGCCGTCTTTAATCGAAGTCATGGTAAAGAATGCGTCCCTTTCATCTCACGTTCTTGTGTTTCATCTGACAGAATCTCGATTTCAGGTTTGGACGAAGTACCTGAGCGGTGCAGTCGATTTACTCAAGCAACTGTACTTTCTTTCCCACGAAGACGTCGATAAATCCGCGATCACTTGGTATTACGCCCTCTGTTTGGAGTTGCTTCTGGATGCTGGGATGGTCTTGGAATCCTTCGAAACTTGTCGAGGATATCATTCGCAAATTACTTGTAAGATATTTCTTCTCGATTTTTAGCTCGCGTTCGAATAAATGTGTTCTTGATCAGCTTGCAAATGGATGGCTTGCGTGTCACGGGATCCGGAGAGCTTGACGCGCCTAACAACTTGCGTGATTATTTGGAAACTAAGAATGTGAGTTACATATTCGGAAAACACGGTCATTATGTAATTCGGTTAATTGACATTCATTTGCAGGAAGATACCGGTCGCGGACTACTGTATACCGACGGCCGGAGATTACATCAAAAACATCAGAAAGGTCAAATTTTCGCAGCTTCTAAATTGCGTTAAGGTACCGGGTGCATTTTAGTAGTTCAACGTTCGGTGAGCCGATGAAGTCATCGATATGCAAAACTTCGCTGTCTTTTTGCAGGGTCTCGAGTGCTACCTGTTGATACTGATTCAACAGATTAACATTAAGAAATCGAACGATGTGATGGACCGACTGCACAGCATTTATCTACTGATGCGCGCACTCCGTAAAACGCAGTCTCAAGCGAAGTTCCTGAAACCGTTTGTGTATCTGTTAGAATCGTACGTGTCGCTGATACGCGGTCGGAAGTCTGCATCAGAGGGGTATTTACAGAAATCTAAGAAATCGGCAAAGACACAGGAGAACGAAATGATTAAGTGTTGGGTCGAGCAGAACAAAAGGGTGAGTAAAACAGAATCGATCGTTTCCGTGTGTACACTGGTGAACGATTTGTTACTAGACTTGGAAATCGAATTACAACAACATGGCGCAGTACTGGATGGAACACGTGGCTCCAGATTTTACTATTTAAGCCAGGTGAATGATCAATCTTTACTTCTTAGACATTACAAACGGTAGCGTTAGGTGGAAGTAATACCAACGAATATAGTTGGGCAAACAGTAGACTAGGAATTGTAGCGAAATGTTTATTGATTAAAGGCGTATTACAGTTTTAGGTTCTAAAAGGTAAACACGACGATCCCCTCGTGTGCACGATAGTTCGTTGAAGCGAACATGTTCGTTCCCTCGGTCCATAAAGCGACCATCCAGGAGCGAGTGCGCGTTCAACCTCCAGATCGATTCTCTTAGGAAACCTCTCGCGACCGACGATTTCTAGTTACTTTTTCACGCGTCCACGATACAATTATACGTTGCGATTAATTAATTGATCTATCGGATGTGGCCGAGTACGCCAAGGACACTTACAGAAGAATTAGCAAATAGGGGAAGAAGACGAAAGACGGGGAAAAGGGGGGAGTAAGGGGAAAAAATTGCGGGAAGAAGACACTTTCTGTCGGTCGATTCTTCGGCTACGCGTGAGAATCGCGAAAGTGTCTCCTTGTTCCGCTCGTTCTGGGGACAAATTGGGACATATGCTTCTACCGCAACCCTACATCTCGCACCGCGTTCGCAATGACTCGAACGGTAAACGATGCTCGTCGTCTGTCGTTTGATTCGTTGAATTTCGTACGTGTTTGAATTTTTTCGCGAACGAGATTCTCGTTCGAGGCTAGACCGGTTAACCGGACGAAGACAAATCCATATAGGCGCGTCATGTTAATCGTTCATTTTTAATTCAAGAAAAAACGCTTGTTCGGTTAACGCAACGAATAAACCGTGTGGCGATCGTATATCACGCGTCAAATATAATTTTTCCTTTCACCGGGTGTGATGTTACACGCGTGCGGATAATTAACTCAATTCCCATCGATGATCCTCCCGATGGATACATCGTTACGATAAGCTCCTCTCCCGACCGTACATTAATATAATATACGTCCAGATAACAGTGTTCAACATCGAATTTCCCGTTTCGTTCGCCAAATAAACGACATAGAGCTTCGAAAATACGTCTCTGATTTCGTAAAACGAAGAAATAAACCGCTACGTCGCGGTGAGCCGAAGCTCGTCTCCTCGGCTTAAACTCGACGGCCCAACCCGTGTTCCGTTCCTTCGCGACTCGTTCGATTTCTTATGGGGGAAAAAAAGAGAAAGGGTGGCCTGGCGATTCGAGCGTCGAGTCGAGTCGATTTCATTGGCGTACTCGGCCATTGATGGGATGATGGCTCTCGTTTGGACATGTTGGGCTGCTGGAGATAAATGGTAAATGGGAGGGGTGGTTTTTCTTTTGTTTTGTTTGATCGAATCGTTGTGAGAAACATTTTCGTCTCCTCCGGTGGCGCTTCGTCTTCTCGGCTGGCTGGGTCTCGATCGCACGGAACAATCGACGATTTCCCGTTCATTCGTGCGAGTCGACGTCGTTGTCGATGCGACTGCTTCGTATACCGGTCTTGCCCGTCCACGGATAGATGTCCGGACACGCCTGGCAGGTCTTCATGTACCTAACGCCGCTCTTGTGCCATAGATTGCAGACTTTCGGGTTGTTGCATTTCTTCGGTCGGTCCTGATTCATCGGGCAAAACGATCAGAATGTATATCGCGATTGGTACACGACATAGATTGAGAACACGACTCGAGTGGTCGAGACTGGACCAACTTGGTCGTTAAGATTCACGATACACGTACCGGATAGTTACACCCGAACGGTTCGAAGTTGTGCAGCAACGGTAACGGGGTAGGGTTCCGGACCCATTGAATCGCTTGCCAGTTCGTCACGATCCATACATCGTCCATCGCGACTATAGTGTCGAGGAACGAGATAAAACCTTCCTTGTGATGGGGCTGGGTGAACCAGGCGGCGTGATAGAACAGTCCGAACGGCGATCTGTAAAAAATAAGTCTCTACCGTGACCAAGTTTCGACCAACGGACTATTGTCGGTGCGATCAAAGATATCAACGTACCTGTTGGTGGTGTAGTGTCTCTCGAAGTTCTTGATCAGCATCTTGTAAACACCGTCGGCGGTCGGTGGGTTGCTGCACGCGTCTCCCATCGAGCATCTACCTCCGTTCAGATCTTGCCACATCACCATAGGAACCTCCCAGAGACCTGGGTAAGACCTGGTGGGACACGGGGGTATCATGCAGTCGTGGAATAGTTTGTAGTCGAGGGTGTACGGCCAGCTGGGCGGTCGGTTCTCGTAGATCGGCATCGACGAGTCGTAGGTGAAGTTCGTGTCCCAGAGCATCTTGAACATGTTGTTTCCTCCGACCTTGTTGTTGACAGAAAGAAAGAGAAAAGAAACGTGTTACGTTCATATAATTTCGTGGTTAATTGTTTCGTTGTTGTTCGCAGAGCGAGGTTTACCGATAGGAAAGGAGCTCTCATTCCCCTGACGTCCTCCAGCTTGACGCCTCCATAGGCCGAGAGGATTTCACGTTGTCCGGCAACTTCTCGCGCCCACTTTCGCTGGGAGAACTGCTCGCCGAAACTGTGCCTGTTACCAGCATTTATTATACCGTCGGTTGTTCGAGTGAGGAGAAGATAAGCGATCCGCGGGGCCAGAATCCAGGAAATTCGATCATCTAGTTAAAACGATACGCTCGATCGACGACTCGGTTTCATCGAACAAACGCATCCGCAACTTTGGGCACACGATCGTTACGAAATCCCTTATTTTTAGGGTCGAACCGTTAATCCTCGAGTCCAGGAAACCGACGATTTTCCATACCGTGCCCCCTCATCCGTCTTCAACCGGTTGCATGAGTGATCGTGCCGAAGAAAATTGCGGTAAATCGTGGTTTCCAGTACCCGTATCGTGCCCGTGAACGATTCTTGGGTATTACAGTTCGCGAACGGTTGCTTCTCGATTAATAACACACTGTTTTTCCGTTTGTTCGTAACCGGTTCTCGACTCGCCCCGCTGTTCTGATCCTTTCCTACATTCTGGCCCGCGGCGTGCTGCTAAAGCGGCGATTTCTGACCGATCAAGCGGATGATGGTGCGGCGTTCAATCGAGCCGACTGTATCAAGCCTGGGCATTAGAGTTGCTAATTGATCGGCGTAGCGACAGAGCGTGAACGGCTATGATCGAACGCTAATTAAGCGTTTCGCGATTGCTCAATGGTAAATGGAATCGTGATTAATGATCGAGAATATGGTGGGCCTAGGGTAACGCGATGCTTCGTTGACCCTAACGAATCCGCGCGTACACGTTCCCGGTGCGGATCAAGTTTCTTTCTGTTTCGATCGCAACGGATTGAACTGCGAATCGAAACGCGATTTTTCGATTCCCCGTGAATGGAATTGTCGTGGCTGCAAGTTGTTTTGTCAGTCGGGTATGTACTTACGAGACCGTGTGGGAGGCAATCTCATGGCCGGCGGCATAGAGATTTTGAACCTGGCTGTAGTCGGTCCACTCGTGAGAGACGTAGAATGTCGACGAGATGGGACAGCCGTTCGGGTTTTTTCGTCCCTTCTCGAATAGGTCCGTGTAGAGACCCTTGTTCAGGTCGTTCACCGAATCGTCGAACGTCAGCAGAACGATTTGCGGTATCTCCTCCGGCAGGTAGTCGCCTGTTTCGGGATCGTTTCCGGGATCGAGCAGGAGGAAGAGGGACGGAGGGGGTTGTGGAATAAATGGGTCATCGTGGGACGGTGTGTTTTCAGTGTCGTTCGAGTGTCCGTATCGCATCAATGTGTTTTCATTTTCCGGTGCGTGTTAACGAATTACGTGTATACGGTAAAAGAGTTTTTTTTTTGTGTTCCAGTGAACGATGATCGAGTGTAGCATGTACGAATGTTCGTTAACAGTGTTCCAGCGAATTAGTGTGTGGTGCGTGATGGGAATGCGAGGGATGACCAAGTGATTGCGAACAGAGAGAGAGAGAGAGAGAGAGAGAGAGAGAATAGCAGAGAGAAAGAGAGAGAGAGAAAAGAGAAAAGTTGCGGTTAGTACGCGTCATTAGTATACGGCACAGGTGCGTCACGCAGCTGGTGAAACCGCCTTCTCGCGACCCGTGTCATCGTTCATCTCCGATCGCGCGCCTCGTTTCACCAGCCGCGCGGCGCAACGCAATTTCAATTTTATCACGATCCTTTCGACGTTTCCTCTAATTGCGTGGCTCTGCCCCTCCCTCGAGTAAATACCATCGGAACGGAAGCGGCCGGGCAATTTGCTCCGGAACAAGACGTTGCCCCTGCGAACGCCTCCGATATGCGATTCAACGGGAGACTCTGGCGACGATATCATCGAATCCTTTCTTCGACGGCCGTTCTCAGGCCTTCGTGAACAATACACCAGGGAGATAAATTTTACTTTTAGATTAGTTCGATCTTCCTTACTTCCGTGGTTTTTACTCCAATCATTATTGTCTACTTTCGATGGAAATCGTTCGTTCCACTTTAGCCTAGCGAAATCAGAGGAATCGTCGAGGCAAACGCGAAGTCTTCTCCGTTCTCGAGGCTACACCTCGAGAACGGGGATTTGATCGGCCATAGGCGACCGAGCGGAAGTCGTGCGTCCAGAGGGAGACAGAGACCAAAACGTTAGTCGAAAGTGATGCACAGGCGATGACGTTCGATGAGCAAATACGTTTTTTTTTCTTTGCTCGCGCATAGAACGAACATTAGCGGCGGGATGCGAGTTGCGACAGTTTTTTCTCCCCTTTTCCACCCCCCACCGTTCTCCGAAACCGTTTATTGTGAACTTACGAGACCGTGTGCGATGCCAGCTCGTGGCCGTCCGCGTACAGGTTTTGCACCTGGCTATAATCGGTCCATTCGTGCGACACATAGAACGTGGCCGTGATCGGGCAACCGTTCGGATTCTTACGGCCGTTCTCGAACAGATCGGCGTACAATGGTTTGTTTAGATCGTTCACGGCATCGTCGAACGTCAATAGAACGATCTGCGGCGTCTGCTCCGCCGGGATACCACCTGGATACACGAGATCGTTTTTTGCGAATCAACCGACGCTTTCGCCGCGTTTCGAGACAGTCCCTGTTGATCTCTGGAGCTGACTTTTCTCGAAATTCGGAATTTTTACAAAATTCGATTCCCGGTGCGCAAATTATCGCGAGACACGCGAGTCCCTGATAACACGAGGATGTATTGAATTGCACGCGAACGCCGACTATCTTGAAACGCGGCATCTTGGTGCGTCGCGGAGGACAGAATCGCGGGTTGTTTATCCATTGCTCAATTAGAAACGAAACGTAGGCAGAGAGTCACCCGACGCCGCGTGATCCTTCCGGATGATTTATTGCGCGGTGTGCGGTTGCACAATCCATTCTAGACGCAGGAACAACCGGCTAAGGCCGTATTAATGGCTTACGGAACACATGCTCGCCCGCGGGAAATATTATTATCGTGACTCGACGTACGAGCGCTGATCCGTTCATACCGACGAATTCAATGCTAACTTGGTGTTGCGTTTAGTACCGGATGTAATCAATACGGTTAACGTTAATCAAACTGATAAAATCGATTCCTAGAAAAGGAAAATGACAAACGAGTAGTGGGTGGGTTGATGGCGATACGATTTAATTCTATCGGTATTATCCGATGTTAAGTATCGATAGTGGAAGATATCGTCGCATTAAATATCGATACTGTATCGCCCATCACTAGTGAAACCGAATTCTCGGCTGGAAGACCGTTGGTACCGGTTGAACGGAAGCCGGGTACGATTCCTTCCGATTCTCGTCACGCGAAAGACCTTTCGATTTCGAGGAGTCTAGAGGAGGCGCACGTGCCGCAAGTCCCCGGGCCGGCAAAGCGGATCTGTTTCACTTTCGAGGGGACTGTACGATGGTTACGCGTAACGTTTTAGAATCGGAGAAAGTCACAGTTGGTGGCTGCTAAACCGATCGACCGAACTTAACATTCGCGTCGCGGTGGCTCGCTTGCGTCACTCGCTGCCCACGTCCCGTCCTTTTCGACGACACCTATGCACATGGGTACCGTTTTTTCCTGTACCCCCCGCCCCTTTCTCTCAGATCGAATCTTCGATATTTGTCACCTCTCCTGGGACGTCTTTGGATAAATCGAACGATGTAATGATCGCGCAACGACCGAACTTACCTGGAATGTCAGCGCCTCCGCAGCTGCAATCCGGAATCAGGCAAACGTCCTTGCGACATTTTGCCGCCGGTTTGTCGACCTGCGGGGTCGGGTAGATCGGTAACGGCCTCAACGGCGGGTACCTGTAGATGTCGACGAACTCCTGCGCCTTCGACACGATCTCCGTGGACGGTTTCAAGGTCGGTCGCGATCGCCTGAAGCCCCCAAACACACCGATTGGTAAATATACAGAGAGTTGTTCGCCAAGAAGAAATGTGGACGTTCGCGGAAATACACGATATCGTTTCGCGACAGTACGATTTCACCTTTCTTTCGTCGCGAACGATCGGGCGATTATCCGCAATTGATTGAATTTCCGAGATATCATATAGCCATACCTGATCGTATTTTATATTTTTTTTTTTTTGCGATGTTTTTCCTACCGATCGACGGATAATTGTTCGGGTAAATGTAACAGCGCGCGGATCGTGCGGCTTGCGCGCGCAATTAACTTTCTAGCTGCATTAATTTCGATGGCCACGTTCGTTCACCTCGAGACGCGACACTCGGGGAGGATGGTCTTCAAGATAGTGACGCTTTTCTTGGGCAGGGATTTAACCGACCAAAGCACCGAACCGCGAAAAGGAATTCCATGGAGGAAGCTGCAACGTTGGTCTAGTATATATACTTAAGTAGTTCACCGATTAATTGTTAAAACAAGAAAATCCAAAGAAACCAGCAGAAACGTGGTTCTACTTTCTAGCGGCTACATTCAAATAAGATAAACACGCGCGACAAACTGTTCTCAGTTGAGAACGTCTCTCGATCGAGAGAGAATCGTAGTTTCCCCGGAATATCGCGTGTCCTTGTCACGCGGGATGGAAAGGATCGAGACGGTGATTTTCTACTCACGGTGGTGCCGTTCCACGATGAATCTGTTGCGGGCGTCCTCGGCTGGAAAGAAAAAACAGGAAAGGATTGAAGATAACGCGAGGCGTCGAGAGATCGCGATCGTAGCGGGCTTTAGCGAGGGGGGTGAAGGGGAAAAAGAGGAACGAAAAATCGACGGAGTTTCCGGCGGGTGTTCGAGCAAAAGGAAAATGTGCCCGCGTCTGCCGCGAGAGAAAGCGGGCGCTTCGTTTTACGGAATACACACAGGTATACATATGATAGCAGCGAAATCGGGTCTTGGTCGACTGGGACGCGGCAAGGCCGTTCCTTTGCTCTCGGTACCGGAAGTCGAATAACACCAACGACATCGATAATTAACGTCTCTGTGTACAGGTCTAATAATTAGTCACCTTGATGTTTTTCGAATAGTAGGTACCCTGTACAACAAACCGATCACGTGAAATTTATTTCCAAAGTACAAAAACTGGTGCGAACTGAATATTCATCTCCTGGCGAATTTATTCGAACGGTGCAGGAAAGTGATCGGACGAATGGGTTAACGAGTCGGGTTAGACGCGAGAGATCGTTACCTTTTATTCATCTTTTTTTTTGTGTTTCTTCAACCAAGCGTTTCGTAACAGTTTAGAAGTGAGAATTCCTTTTTATGCGAGGAACCGACACGGTAGAATAATAACGATCGAACGGGTGTCTTTTTGATTCTTGCGGGTCTACGCGCCAGCTACCCGGGTTGCGTAACCGAAACGGAAAAACTGTGTAAGGTGGACGACGACGTACCTGGGTGCGTTGACCGTGTAAGGCCTGCTGGTGGTGGTCGGCGGCTGCGTTGTGGTCGTCAACGGAATGAACGTGTCCACGATCGCGTTCGGTGTGGTCACGTGGACGACGGGGTGGCTGAGCACGTTAGGCCTGCGGACACCGCGACTCTTAATTAATAAATTGTCGAGTAACTGGCTACGATTCCGCGAACAGTGGACTTTCATCGGCGAAAGACCGTGGTCTCGCGGGACAAATAGGGTGGACACACCACTAAATGAAACGAGTAAATTTAATTATTTAAATAAGCAAATGATTAGATATTAATTTGTTCTTCAATTCCTTATTTTATATGCAAACAACAAAATCTCTTTAGTGTTCGTTCATTGGTGCGTTTAGTTTTTAATGTTGATTAGATCGATAACCTCGCGCGACGGTTTACGTAAGCGCGTGTTTGCACGCTCCTCGATTTCGATCGAATGTCGGGGTGAAACGACCGCAGTCATCGCGAAGATGTCTCGGGATTGTTCACGAGAAACGTAATTCACGAGAATAACCACGCTGAGAGTCATCGATGAAAGCTCAAGGCGATAACGCAATTAACACGGTAATATTCTCATCTCGAGGAGCAAACGCGAAGGTTACTTCTGTTTCTCGATCACTCCCAACATCTTTGACGGTGATCGTCATCTTGAGGTCGAGATCATTCTTAGATCAATGGGAAATTTCTCACCTGAATGCCTGGCCGTCGTTAATCCGGAACTTGTTTTTGTTGAGCTGAGCCTAGAGATCGGGCGCGTGGAAACAGAAAAAGGAAATTGTAATTCATGACATTTTCGTTCGATCGGACTGAAAAATCCATTCGTATTTACCTGATTCTCGTAGATGTCGTAGTCTTGCACGGTGACGTCCTGATTCAGATTATACTTGTCCGCCTCGTTCACCGCGACTTTCTTCGGCTTTTGGTACTGCTTCGTGTTCACCTCGCTGATCTTGACGCTCGGTTGAACCGGGACCGATTGGTTCACGGTGTACTGATTGTAATCTAGCCGAGAAAGGATGAATCACTCGTACACGTCTCGGTATCCCTGAACTTGAATCCTCCGGAGGATAGGATTTCACGCGAGAACGACACGAACACGCGATTGGACGCGTGTTTTAATTAACGATTAAAATTATAATTCTTCTCGAGAAGCAGGAAACGTGGGGGAAACATCGTTAGGTTACTCACCATCGTCTTTGTAAATGGACACGTCGTCGTCGTAGATCGTGTAATATGGGTAACTCTGGTCCGGGTCGTTGTAATACGACTTGGAGATTACTGGGGAGGCTGTGGACGCCAAGATCTTTGCGACTCTCGGCGACTCCGAGGATGGCACTTGAGTCCTGCGACGTTAAACACACTTTTAAAGACATTATCTTTCGATGTGTTTTCTATCGGGCGGGAAAAGATCAACGTCAGAAACACAAAATAACACTTCGATGGCGGGAGGGATTTTGTGCTTGCAAATATACAAAAATATGTAGAAACTATTACTTAACTTTTATTTGTCAAACTTTACATGTAGAAAAAGCGATTTTTCCCTATTTTTTTTTTATTGTTCTAATTCTTATTTAAGAAAAACGTACTACTACATCAACCACTCTTAGATTTTGCTTTTGGGGAAGACGTACTATTACAACATCCGACATCAAAGTGTTAAGAAAGGTAGCAAACCAGGTGTTATCACCAGTGATCTTCGCAATGCTATCCGATGGATCTGCGTTACGCAAGCGCGAGACAGCCGTGTCGGACGAATTACAGGGGCCCATGACGGACGAAAGGGAAATCGAACAGAAAAAAAAGTTGAGGCGTGTGTGGTGCTAGTAGATCGGTCAGTTTTTTTTATCAAGTCGACTTTACGCACCTGTAGTGAGCCTCCGTTTGGGCGCGCGTGCTCTCCTTCTCACGTTCCTGCTTGACATTAATTGAGAGATTAATCCCTGACAGGCTCTCGTTTAAATCGGGGCTCGAAAACTATACCCTACCGGCCAAAAGTGTCGGGCCAGGTTCGATAATTAAAAACAGATAAAAACATTATTCTACAAAGATATAATAATACTTTCGACGATACAATTTGCGCAGGCGTTGAGGCCAAGGCTATGACGATAGAACTTAGTATGGAGGGGGCTTTGAACTCATTGCCATTTTACTCCCCTACAGCCCCGACCATGGCAATATAGTTAGAATCCACTGTACCATTGGCCGGTAGTGTACCCGAATTGGTATCCCTCGAAATGACAGAGCACTTACCGCGATCACGTTCCTTCGAAAACCATCTCTATCTCGCTGCACCTGACCGATCGTCGACGGTTGACCTCTGTAGACACGTTGCTGTCTGTCGCTCTCGACCTCTGACGCGGGCTCGTACTCATCTTCGTGGTAATTCCTGGCCTGTTGTCTCTGACGGATCTGTTTCTCGGTTATCTGCAGGATGGGCGTCGGGGTGGTCGTGATCGGTTGCCTTTGAATGGGACGTTGTTGGTGTTGTTGGACCGTTGGCTCGCGTCGTTGGTGCTCCCGGATATGTTGTTGGGACCGTTGCGAAGGCGGCGGTTGTTGCTGTTGTTGTTGCTGCTCCTGCAGGCTCTCGATCTTCGCCGATCTGGCGCGGTTTCGAGGGGAACGATTGCGTCAGGATTAATTATCGAGGGGGCCGTGGCGGGACGGTTGTTTCGCGGGCTGTGCCAGACCTCGGAAACCTCTGGGATTTCGCAAATCACCGTGTCGATCCGTGGTCGAATCAATTGCGACGGGGAAAATCTTATTTATTGTAATATCTGTTATTCGAGTGTACATTAGGCGAAGTTACGACCGTTATAATAAATTATTAGAGTGGGAATACGGTTAATTTTCTCGAACAAAGTAACTGAGCTTTGATTTCGCAACCAGGAACCGAACGAAATCGGACCAGATTGGTCTCGAGTGTTCACCGATCGGACCCACAGTCCCGTCGAACTAGTTTCGCGAAAACATGTCGCTCGGAATGGCAAGGACGTCGTCGGACCGGGCCAAGCCGGTGGACGCGTCTAGACGGAACAGAACCGAGTCGCGGCTAGGTTGGGTAACCGACTTCTTTCCCCGATTACACTCGCGCACAATACATTAATGAGCGAACGGCGACCGCTGCTCCGTTGCTTAACTTTGTCTTGCACAAGGAGACTCGCGTTCCCGGTTCCGAGCTGTCGTGTGCTCTCTTCGAGAAACGGTGGAGAGAAAGAGAGAGGGAGAAAGAGAGCGAGAGAGTGGGAGAGTTGATTGTAGACACGGGCGCAGAGTTATACAACAAATTCGCCGCGTTTCCGCTCGATACTTTCAGCCAGAAACGAGACCGTTTCAATGGGTCTTTCGAGGATTAATGATCGTTCGCTTATCCAATCGGAGAAACGGAGGGTTTGTTGTCTCCCGTACGAAAGATACGAGTGAACCGATTCGATTTGTTGCCCTGGAAACAGTGTCGATAAATAGTCCGTGGGTTGTTTCAAGGCTTCGATGGTAAATAATAGTAGTAATTGCGATAATGTCTCTATTAGATTGTACGAATCAAAGGACGAGATGAACAGTTTAGTGGACAGTAATTTAATAGAAGCAGGCAATAACCATGGGACATATTATGGAAATCGTTCCACCGTTATTTATTGTTCGATTTATGACGTCATCGTTTCTATTTTCTTGAGTGGTGGCCTCGCGTGCAGTTGATCAATCTGTGCCTCCGTCAACGTTCTCCACTCGTGAACGAAAGAAAAAAAAATAATGCTGGTCGATCGTTCCGATCGGTGATACACCTCGATCTCGATCGCTCCGCCCTTCCCGCCGCACGTTTTCTTTTTTTCTTCTTCTGTCTCTCTCTTCGACTCTCACTGCCACCTTTTTCTTTCGCCACACGGCGTGACGCGGGGGTGAAGCTCGAGCACGCTCGGCATCGTTTTGCAATCAGACCCGAAATCTTTCGCAATCGACGGACGTCCGGCGATCTGGATCGATCGGTGGAGCATTTCGCCGCTCGGCGATCGTCTCGGTCGGACGATTTAAAAGTCGAATTACCCGCGGTTTTGTCGATCGATGCTGACGATCAGTTTTCCGAGGTCTGTTGTTTGCGGTTTGAAGACTGGGACAAGCGTTACCATGGTGACGTGCACCACCGGTCAAAAGTGTGGGACCAGGTTTGATAAATAATTAAAGAAAGAGAAAAATATTATGTAATGTCCTAGAACTGTTTGGAACTCATTTGTATATGTACCGATTCTGTAACTTTGATTATATCGTAACAGATTAATAAGTTTTTCCATCAATCATGAACTTTGGTGCTTTACTTTTGACTGGTGGTGTAGTAGTCGGTCTATCGTTGAAAACTCACCTTTCCAGCAGAGGATCTTCCTCGCTTTCCTTGTTGGTAGATCCGCCGTCGGGACAGCCCACGTTACGTGGCCAATCGCACGTCTGCAATTCGTGACTGCGGAAAGAAAGACAATGGCAACTTTTCAATGAATCATTTAAAAAAGAACGTTCGAGGAGAAGCTGTCTCTGGGATCGCGTAGGAGAGTTCCATAAGGGGACTGCTTTTTTCGATTAATGAAATGTCGGGTGTACTGGTTGATAGATGTTCGAGGATTTTCGAAGACCAACTGAATTTAGAGTCGCGTTTCAAGTAAGTATACGAGGATCCTTAATTGGACACTGCGTTACCATCAGATATCTTAGGGCACGCGGGCCGGTTTTATAGCGAACTCGTTTGCACGCACTGTCGTATCGGGAGAGGTGTGGCAGGCTGATTTTTTCCAGGGTTATGCGTACGGCTACGACCCCCTTTTACCTCGCGGATCCAGATCGAAAGTGCGCCAGGATCGTAATAATACCCTTCGACGCCCTCGCTCTAATCCGAGCGTAATATTTTATCGTAACGATTCCTCCAACGTTCTTCAAGGTGACAACCGTTACGTCCGGATCATTGTACCATAGAAATGTGAAATGCTTCGCGAAGTATCGATTTGACGTAACTGAACGACGAAAAATTTTACTACAAACATGATTAATCGACAAGAGCTTGCGTTAATTACCGACGACAGTTATGTGCCATTTCTGAATCTATCTGCAGCTTCCGAGGCCAGCGTAATTTATGACAAAAGTTCCACCGTGAAAAGATGTAGATTTTATCGATTAGTCGTTAATCACATAACCGTGTTCACGATCGAGTCGTAAATTCATTATTCCAACTTTTCACGATCCTTTTTCCCCGGTTCGGATACCTACGGACTATTCGGCCAGCAAACTGGTTTCTTCGTTCATTGATTCCAAATCACGCTTTTAAACCGACCGTTTCGATTGGCCGCGCGGAATTCCATAAAATAAAAAACTATGCCCACGCGCGCGACAGGCCACGGAGAATTTAAACTGTAATGTCACCGCGACCAAGAGATTTCTATCGAAACGGTCGTTGAATCCCCGAGAGCGATGTATGTATTCAGGAGGTATTTGTTTCGGGGGCCCTGGAAGCGCGCTAGAAGCAGTAGAAATCTTCGAGCGGAATCTCGCAACGCAAGCCCCATGGGAATAGTGTAGAGCACACACATCCATTAAAGTTGTCTATATCTGGACGACAATGCCGTCTGCGTGTTTCGCTTTCGATTCGAGCACCGCGTATTATTCGTTACAATCCGCCACGCTACTAATTTCTGCCCATATTAGCCGATCGTTTCTGGATCGTTTCCACGTTTCAAACTGTGAACGAACAGTTCCTTCGCCTCTACGACTGCGTGTTTTCTCGATCAATTGTTTTATTTATTATTAAACGTCGGTATTTGCAATACCGCGACAGTTTGGACCACCGTTGATTTTTTCTTCTGATTGGTAGATTTTCTTTTTTATCTCTTTAACCTTTAGAGGACGGGCAGGTTTCTTTTATGACTTCTTAAACTTTCAAGGTAAAACTTTTATATGTATATTTGTCATACTATTATACTACGGAAAATAAGTGACCCTTCTGGACTTAGACTTTCCGTCTTCTAGATAGATAGATGAGGGTGATTCGAGCATGGTGGTAGCTAAGCTATCAGTCGGGAGTTAATATAATATAATACAACATTTTTTTCCTCTAGTAGGAGAGTAAAATCCAATTTTTCCCCCTCTAGGATAGGGCAAAGGCTACATTTTTCTCTCCATGGGGGGACAAATGTCCCTCCCTGCGCTCCTCTGGCTATGTCCATCGATTCGAAGTATTTCGAGGATCGTATGCCTACCTGTACATCAATCCTCCCGTGCAGGACTCGAGTAGCGCACCGCCGAAAACGCAGACATAGTACTGCGTGCAGTCACGGGGATGGGGGTAGTATCCAAACTCCTCGGGGCACTCGAATTCCAAAGCGGCCTCGTTTCTGCTCGCCCTGGCGCTTCTCGGGATGGTTCGTTGACATCCTGCGAACACATAAATCCCCAATGGTTAAGGCTTGGTACTCCTGATTCCAGACTTATCGATCTCTACTCTGCCTTCGGAGACAAGTTGAATCGACACCAACTGCGAGTTATTAACATTATTAACGGCAACCTTCCAGAGCGGTCCGTACGAACGTATGGAACGGTCGCCGCAATGAAATGTGAGCGGTATACATACAAAGCGACGGATTGCGCAACGGGGGAATAAGTAACCGGATTTTTGGTCGACCTTGCGTGGCGGTGCGTGGTCAAGAAACTCGAACACACCGGAGAACGAATGATCGCGGATCCGCGGAGTAGATCGCTGTAGGGATGGGCGATACAGTATTGATATTTCGAATATCTGGAATATATGGATACTTTTCAATTGAAATATCGAGATTGAATGTGACGATCTATTCCAGTGTCGATACTCAAACCAGAAATCCGAAATTTTTGTACAAACGTAACAAGTCCTAAGGAAAATGGACCAATCGCGATCATCTCATAAAGTTTGCGATTGGTCGTTTTCTTTTCCCTACTGTTACCTGAGAATCTGCCTTGATCTGCTTAGATAAATGATATATTATCATTTTTGGATTTTGTTACTTCTAATTGAATTTCAAGTAATATTGATATTTTATTCTCGATGTAGATCTGTATCGATAATCTCCAGTATCAATACGTATTGATGCAAAATATTTATAATACAAAATTCAAATGTATTGTTATCATTAGATCGCGATGTCATCTCCTGTCGATCCCTACAAAAACGGAACGATTGGCGCCAAATTTTCGTAATACCCGAGAATTCCGTCTGCTTTCGATTATTCTCGGACGACATTTCATTTGGCGATCAGGGGAACGAAGCAGGGAAAACTGACGACGCGTTACGTTGTGTTTCCAAGACGGTTGCGGTAAAATAACACGGCGTGCCTACCTTTGAAAATGGTTTTCGCGTTCCGGCATTGTTTCGCCCAACGGCGGATTCGATTATCCCAGCTGAAGCTTTCTGGCACAAGTCGGGGGGTATCGTGGGACCGCGGCACCGGGCGAACGAACGACGAATTGATTTGTTGGAAACGTGACTTGCGCCATTCCTGGCCGCACTTTCGACGTGAGAATATGTGTCTATACAATAACGCTGTTTCTTTCGTCCCGGCACCGGCTTGGCCCCGTTTATATGTAAATCTTTTTCCGTGTTGATACCGTGTTTGTGTAACCGTTGTACACGTTTCCGACTGGGGCGGGACATTCGAAATTTTTCAGGTGCCATCGCGCTGCTTCCTCGTGCCGTCCCACCTGTTGCGTGGCGGCGGCGCGTTACACCGTAGGGTGGATCCACCAATAAATGAATACGTACCAGTGAACGAATATTATACGTAAAAACGAGTGGATTAAGTTATTAAAATAAGCAAATGATTGAATATTGATTTTTTGAAATGTTCATTTACTGGTCGATATTGTTCATTCACCGGTGAAATCTGTACTTTTTTCTTTTTAATTTCATCAATTACATTTTTCCAATTTTTCAAATTGAAATCTATACGTTATATTAGAATGCTCTAGATATTAAAATATCTAATTTTCATGTGCCGAATAGCTGTTAATATTATTATCATTTAAAATTCGACTTGTATAGTTACAAAATCTCTCAAATATTCATTCATTGGAGTGTGGCACCATATTTAGAATGTCCCGCGCGGGAGAAAACGAGCGAACCGAGATAATTGGAACAATCGTCGATCTATCGTTCCTACACGTTCGCGAGCGATCTTATTTATTTACTTTATCGTTCTGTATCTTTTTGTCGATCGATGTTACTCCATGCGACAGAAAGCACGTGCGCACCGAAAGCATTTCTGGGTCAGTGTTTTTGCGACCGGAGGGAGCTAAAAGGCGCGGTGAAATCCATGGAAGCCGGACTGCTTGCTTGCCGGTTTCTTCGCCTTCCCATGAGCCAGCGGTGGAATAACAAAGCGGTTGCATAATTGTCATTAGTCGGCGTGCATCCGACGCGACCGCTAATGAAATTTTGCATGCCGATATATGCGCAAACGGGGGGAGAGGGAAAGAGAGGGCAGGCAAACGGGCATCGCCACCGCGGGAATTGGGCAATCAGTGAGTAATTGAAAACGTGAATTGTGTGTCGGCGTCGCTGAGAAGGAAAAGGCTCGCGTAACAACGTGTGGACGCCATTGATCACCGGGAATGCGAGTAATTAGATCAAGACTGGTCAATCGATAGCGCATGGGTTGCTTGTCGCGGCTCTTTCGTAATATCGACACACGCCCTTAATCTTCGGGACGCGGGAAAACAAGAGATTTTCTTAATTATTTAACAATAACGAATCCTTGATTGGATGGAAGCAAACTTTCGAGAAGACTAAAAAGTTTGATAAAGTTGAATTACTCGAGGGACATTTGGAAGGGACCACAGAAAACGAGTTGGATCCCGGTATCCACAACCTTCGCCTCTTAATTCCAAAGCGTTTCGCGTTAGCGGTCGTGCGGAGTTCTCGCGAGGCGGAATATGAAGTCATGCGGCAAGGGTTCGACGTACGTCGGTGATTTTCTTTGGCCGGGAACGCAAAAACCGGTGGCCTGGTTTATTACCGCGACGGTACTTTCTATTGCCGATCTAACGTGCTGGTAACGAACGGAACAGGGCCGCCCGTAGGTGCATCGTGCAGCCGTGGAAACGGGTCGCGTTAATTGAAATTACGGGGAATCGTGGAAACTGGCGTGCCTTGTGGCCAGGACAATTAACATGTAACCCTTGGCAACCGATCGACAAAGTAAATGCTTGTTTATCCTTACGCAAATTTACACGGGATTCGTGGGCGTGGTCTTCTGTGTCTCTGATTGAATAGTTTTTCTGTCGCTGAAATTTCATCGTTGAACTTCTGTCACTGAAATTGCATCGAAAAATGTGAAAAGACCTAAGAAATGGTAAACTCGTGGCGCCATCGACGAGGCTAATGCTTTCGTTGCGCCACGGTATCGTAACTTGGCCGCAGAAATTCCATCGGATCGTTCTGTCGCCCCGATCATTATCATCGTCGTGCGCGGTCGCGTCGGTTACCAGGCGAACACGCATCGATACGGATGTCGTCGAGCGAGGATACGCCGCTCTTTCCGGTGACATTGGGTGCATCCATTCTCCACGTGTCCCCAAGGCCGTCAGGAAAACGCGAAACGAAGAAAAACGAGGCCTCGAGCGGGACAAGTCCGACCTTCGGGCGAATATGGGCCAGAAAACGAGCATTTAGACCGAACATCCTGGTACCGTTCGCCGGATCGACCTTCCGAGAGATCGTACAAGACCTTGGGACCGCGGCAAGGTCGACGTCCTCGTCCATAAGACGAGCCTAAAATTCTTTTCGCTGATTCGGGACGGAACTCCCTCAACGGCTGGCCACTTCGAGTCGGTAAATGTTTCGAATAATCGATCGTACATCGCCACGAAGAAACGCCCATTGGTAGACTGACTCGATCAGAATTGCACGTGTAATGTATCGAATTCCTACGGCTGCAACGCGTAATCGAACTCTCGTCGTGAATCCTCGCCCCTTCTTGGACGTTAATGGATCCCCGTGGCGGATCTTTCGCGCCGCTGACATTTGCTCCGCTATCGCGTAAAGTGTACCTGTGGATGGAGCGTCACGGCCGATGACGAGAGAGAAGTCTCATGAGGCGTTCTAGAAAGGTGCATAACGCGCGCGTCCCCCCTCAGTAGGTAAATGTCAAACGAAACGCCAACCCACCTTCGCTTCGGGTATTTTTTCGATAACGATTCGATCGTATTCTCCTTGAACGCGACTGAATTTCACTAGTGGATATCATTTGTTTCACCTTCTCGTTAAATGTATCGTGGAGACGTTATTACTGAACAGGTGAACTGTTTTCAAAATAAACGCGATCGAAGGGCTGAAAATATCACCAAAATTAGGGATATTTCAATATGTGACACGATACCTTGTTTAAGCCAAATTTTTATCAAATTTTGACACGCCGAGCTCAAAAGGTTGGCGATCACTGATCTAGGATCACGTGTGCCCGCGAAGGCATGCACCCTCGATAGAATCTTGATAATGGTGAACGAGAGAGGAGTGGCGCTGCTGCGTTCATTGTTATGAAAAATTACAAAACTTCGCTGAACGGCCGAAGGAAGGGGGCAGCCGTGGTTTTCGTAAGAGCTCTGCGGTTTTCGGCAGTCTTTTTGTGAGAGAGATACTCGTTGAATTTTCACATGATGCTGGAAGGGGTGGCCGCGACGCGACGTTCGGGGGATCGTGGATGCAAAGTTACACCATTCTCTGGCTTTATTGAACGTTGCAGAAATGTGAGAACCGTCTCATTATCGCTTACAATAAAGCCATCCAGAGGGAAGACTTCGTTCGACGCGTTACCGTGGAACGATCACGCCTATTGTAACGATCGTAACTAGTGCGTCGAGTAACGTGTTTTTTCTTTCGGATCTCGACGGTGTACAATGGGACTCGAAGCTATTCTCCGGTTTTATAGTTCCGTTAGCGTATCGAGCGTTGAATAATACACGGGAATACTGTCTGCGATTAATTCACAACAAATCTTGACGCGTCAAAATTAATCCACGCCAGTAATAACTAGACTGCGGATGTTTATGCATTTATAGCATCTGTTAACGTGGGAAATGCAATGAAGTAAACGTTTTAATAAAGTCCACTACCATTTCTGTGTTATTACTAACATAGTAAAAGTCTCTAGTACAATGTTCCCCAACATGGGACGTACGCCCCACCGAGAGATAAATTGAATATTCAATCATCTCATCGGCAACAGTTTTACCTCTGCAAAATTCAACTCTCTCTACAAAATTCAAAATTCTATCCCTTTTCAATCTTTAGACATTCGTATCTGAAATTCTGGATTTGTATATACTTCCGCAATCTAGTAATAACCGTCGAACGTCTCGAAATTATTCCTCTTGAGAAGAATCGCCGCTACATATCACATCATCGA